CTACACATTGTTGTTGTAGGGAGTACTGAGACCAAATATGCAGAATTGAGGAGGAAATGATTGTGTGCTAGAATAGGGTCAAAAACTGTGCTCTCAAGATTTGGGGATGGTGGCTCGTTGTGACCTTGGAGGCATTTGGTTATAAATTAAAACCATTGAAGCACACTGTAGATGATGGGGTTTGGATTGAAAGAGATTGAGTGGGCCTTGGGTTAAAGAAGTTGAGAAATTTTGGCCTGGAGGCCCTGAGGGTGACCCAGAACTCCTCTGAAAAGAAAGGGAGAAGTCCTTGAGCTCCCTGGCTATTTCCTACCCCCAGTGCAATGTACCTGCTGCTACTGAAAGTTGTGTCTTGCCCAGCCTTGTTCCCTTCGACTGCTGAAAGTGTTATTCCCCAAGTAGCTTAGACCATGGCAGCGGGATTAGTTTCAAATGCCATTGGGTATCTTTTTGTGAACTGGTTATGCAGACCTGCCCTATAACCAGTGGAAGCAGGCACTCCTAGCTTGAAATTCAGTTCACCTAATTTAGACATCCGTATTGGAAAGAGATCAGTCTCAGTTTAGAAGTGCCTGTTTCCCTTCAGAGAGCATCTGGAGCTGCAGCTCCTATGAGGCAAAAGAACAGCTGTGTGGTGAATCAAGGTAGATCTTAATCGAATCTGTGAGTTTTTTTTCAATGATGTTGTTCCTGAATAATGCCAGACATTAATTTTGATTGAAAATGTACAAGTATCAGCTGCTTTTTTAAAATCAGGATCTCTTGGTAGTTCACCTATACTATATCCACATCTTGAAAATATCAGTGTTTTGAGTGTTTTGTAAAATAATCCTTTCCCTAACCTCTTCTTCCCCTACCCAAAACAGCAAACAAAAACCACCCACCCAACCCTACTGCAATACTTTCCTGTAGAAGAGACTCTAAATTTCACCTGCTTCTAGTATTTGATCTATTTTGGAGAAGCAAAGCCAGTAGCCTCACTGATGGGGCTCAAGTTTTCTATTCCTCAGCTTTTGTTAAAGGAATATTAACCACTTGGGAAGGGTGAGGTGGTCATCTGTCAGTCGTGCTAGCCTGGTATGCACTCCAGAAAGGTTGCTGGACTTTTCATAAAAGAGATCCAAGGATCGAATGAAGCCTGAATATCTTGTTCCATGGGATTAGAGAGATGCATTATCAGTGAATAATATTAGTCATGCTTTGTGCTTTCTATATTTTACCATCTGCCTTTGAAAAATGTGAGATGGTGTTTCCCTGGTGTCATAACATTAGGTGAATTACGACGAACACGAACTCCGAGTTACTTGTTTTTAAAGCACTGAAAGAAGCATCAACTTTGTATTTGTTGTTCATTGATTAATGTTTAATTGAAGGTGAAATTAAAAATAAAGCAGGCAAATGACTCAAACATTCTTAAAAGCAACAACACTGTCTTGCTGTGGCTGACAAATGACAATGAATTTCTAAGAACAGAAGTAATATATTAATGTATAGTGATGGCACGGTGAGTGAAAAGAGATGCTTTGATTGAGGGTGGTGGACACATCCCACAGAAAAATAATGTAGAAAACATCTTTGACGCTGCATTTAGTGCCCTTTGCATCATGAATGAAATCGGTAGATGGTTCTGCTCAGACAATACTAAAAATTGTCTTTTCACTGTGGTGGTATGGGAACAGTTTAAAAACAATTTTATTTTATCAGAGGAATGTTTAAAAAGCCCACAGGGCTAGCAAAGCCCTATACATTCTCTGTTAGGAGAATGGCATATTTTGTTGAGGGTTTTTTTTGTGTGTTTTTGTGTGTGCTGTGGTTTTTTTTTTTGTTTGTTTGGTGTTTGTGTGTGGTTTTTTTTTTTGGTAGCATCGTGGCTTCTTTATACTCCCAAGATCTTGAAGCGTACTTATCTTAGGAATAGATTCTTTTTTGCCCACTGGAAGCAAATAGCAGTCTGTCATTTTATCCATTGTTATTATTGATGCCTCATTTTTTCACAACATTTTTCTGGTTATTCTTTTTCATGATCAAATCTGAGTCTGCTTTTTGATGTGACTGTCAGTAGCAACTTATCACAGATGAAACCAGAAAGAGTCTGAAATGCTGATTTTAGGAAAGGGGGGACATGTCATCAGTGGAGGTTGTGGTGGTTCAGTGCCTTTTGAGATGAAGTCTGTTTTACTGGACATCTGTGACACTTCTATCCTGCAATTTTTTCAAAATAATGCTACAGGCTGATGTTATTTCTGTTCAGAATACAGATCCATCCTGTTTAAAAACAGATAAAGCAATAATGAGTAAGGTCTTTTCTGCATGCTATGTATAGGGAATTATCTAGAAATGAATTGCTACTGTGAACACTGTCCCGCATGGAAGCATGGAAAGTTGAGTGTTGTTGACAGAGCAGAATATCTCTTTCTTGGCTATTGCTTGGCAAATGAAGGTCCTTTTTAATTATTACTTCCAGTTTCTCTTTATAGCTCAATGCAAGCAGCATTTTGTGCTGAAATTTTTCTCCTCTTGTGAACCTGAAAAGCAATATGTGAAATCAAAGTTGGCAAAAGTTCTTAGCACTAGAATATATGTCAATAAATAGGATGGGAAGAAGCAGCATGTAGCAGTTGACTTCTATTTTAATTGCATTATGTAACATTGTAGTGAAACTTTGGTACTTCCTTTTTTTTTTTTTTTTTCTTTTCTTTTTTTCCTCCTCAGAAATGACAGGAATGTTGAGTTTTTAATCTGTAAACGAGAGGGCTGGTAGAGGCTCAGTTTGTCTAATTGCGCAAGGTGTATTGGACAGCTCCAAAGCCGGTAATGTCACTGTGGGCAAAAAGGAATTAATGTTTACAGTGGGCCTGGTCTTTCCAGCGTGTAGAGCAATGGCAATGCAGTTATATCAGTGGGAATACCAAGCCTACGTGTTATGCACCTTGAATACTGTGTCCAGTTTTGGACCCCTCACTATAAGAAGGACATTGAGCTGCTGGAGCGTGTTCAGAGAAGGGCAACAAGGCTGGTGAAGGGCTTGGAGAAAAAGCCTTATGAGGAGCGGCTGAGGGAGCTGGGGCTGTTTAGCCTGGAGAAGAGGAGGCTGAGGGGAGACCTGATCGCCCTCTGCAACTACCTGAAAGGAGGTTGTAGTTGGGTGGGGATTGGGCTCTTCTCCTCAGTAAGTAGCGACAGGACGAGAGGAAACGGTCTCAAGTTGCACCAGGGGAGGTTCAGGCTCGACATTAGAAAGAACTTCTTCACTGTTAGAGTTGTTAGGCATTGGAACAGGCTCCCCAGGGAGGTGGTGGAGTCATCGTCCCTGGAGGTGTTCAAAAAACATTTAGATGTGGCACTTCGAGACATGGTTTAGTGGACAGGGTGGCATCAGGTATACGGTTGGACTTGATGATCTTTGAGGTCTCTTCCAACCATAATGATTCTATGATTCTATGTTAACTATATGTTTTGTTGCAAAAATACAAAATTGGGACTTAAAGTACTTCAGGATCCTCTTTATGTCCTTTATGTGTATACTCATTTTCACTCTGTACTACTGTACCTAGAAAGTTCAAAATAGGCACTTTGACAGGTTTGTCAGTCATTAAGCTGACAGTGTTCTTTTAAAGATTGTTTTGATTATGAGAAAACTATTCTGAGACCTATAGATTAGACAGTGTGCTCACATTAACCCGCCTGAGGCAAAAAAGAAACCTTTAATCCCTGTTAAAACTCCCTGTGCCAAATATAATAGCTGGTTTCAGCAGTATTTAAACCAACTTCATTAGAATATGGGAAGAGGAAGCAGGTTTTAAAGGCTGGTTTTAGCAAGTAATCAACTGCCTCCCAGATGGTCCAAATGTGACTTGTTCAACACTGCACATGGTAAAAAAAAAAGAAGAAAGAAAAAGGAAAAGAAAAAAGCCCAACGCCACCCTGTGTGCATGTGTATTTGTGTGTGTCTGGGTGTGTTGGCTCCATGCTCGCACGTCTGTGGCTATCACGGGGAAGCTGTGCAGGCTGTGGGCGAGTGGGCTGGCAGGCAGGGCTGGAGGCAAGCAACCCAACAGCTGCCTTGGGTGAGGCATAGCTCTGGCTGTTCAAACCAAGACACGCGAGTCTTTTAGCTCTTTTCCGCGGTACGCTTGCTTTCACAGGAGGCAAGGCTGCAAGATGTAATGTATTTAAATGGATTCTGAATTTGTAATGGTGGCTCTAGTTTTTCCATCAGTTTTACTGTCCTTGCACTGAAAGCCAGTTTTGCTTTAACCCTTATGAAAACTAATAGTGTTTCACTAATTTTTTGTTACCTTGTAGTATTTGTGAGAGTCTTTGTTCTTGTCAGATGAAAGATTGATGTTGCTGTATGAACCACAGCATATACTGGAGGTGCATCTAGCATGCTGGACTAATCGCTTCCTTATTAATATTCATGAGCCATCTCATTTAGCAGGTGCTCTTGGGACTTGATTAAAGTAAGCAACACTGCTATTGGTGCTTTAGCTGTAGAGAGCTTTATCTAAGACAGAGCTAGTGTTATCCTTGGTGTCGATGCTAGCTCTGACTACCTGCAGCATTTTACAGGACACGTCTACAGTGTTTCTGCAGAGCTTTTCTTAAATGACAGGTCACACTGCAATGATAGAGGGAATAAATTTGAAATCACCTTTGTAAAGCATTATTGCTCACTCTTGTAATGAGTCCTTTCTGTTTGTTCCCAAAGGTCCAGAGGAAGAAATGACCATGTAGATTCTACAGCTTGGATGCAGCATAATGGGAAATGGTGAATGGAGTGGAGCCGGTCTGCAGCCTTGAGAGCAGCCATTCTGCAGACCACTAGTCAGTCAGGGACACCTTGCACACCAGAGACATCCTCCACGTCGCTCGCCAGACACACACTGGATTCTTTTTAATTTCTTAGATTGGAATTCAGGATTCCTTTCCTTCAATTTTTAAACAGTTTTAAGATTGTATCAACTATAACGAGTGGAGCAATATAATCAGCAACAATGGGTGACATGACAAATAGCGATTTTTATTCCAAGAACCAAAGAAATGAGGCCAACCATGCAGGAGAGTTTGGGTGCACACTGCAAGAACTGCGCTCCCTCATGGAACTTCGAGGAACAGAAGCAGTAGTAAAAATTAAAGAGACATATGGGGAAACAGAGGGGCTTTGCAGACATCTGAAGACATCACCAACAGAAGGTAAGGATATTTCACTTCAGTTGAATCAGGGGGCTTTGCATAAGTGCTCTCCAGATAGTAAAGGAAAGAGGTTTTGTTTCAAACCTGAACACAATTCTCATGGCGCTGCCATTATTCCCAACAATAATACAACAAAAGTAGAATTTTCGGAGAAAGAGGATAGAAACAGTCTAGCTATAGCTAAAGCTAGCATGAGAATAAAAGAAGTGCTATTATTCAAACAGCTAAATGCATTAGTTCTTCCTTAAAAGGTGGAGAAAAAAATCAGCACCTATTTCATGGCATTATAAAGAGACTTTAACATATATGCTCTTGGGGGTTAGAAGGTGCCAGACTAGTTGCTTCAGAAGAATTTCTGTGTATTTAGGCATCTTGAGAATATGAAATGACCTGCTGAGATACACATTATGTTTCTTTCTAGATCAATATGTAATATACATATATTTTGTGGTTACTAATCTTGACTTACTATATTACCATAGATAGTTTTGCTTGAGTTATCAATATATGACTGTATCAATGTTTTTCTTAGTTGGACTTCTTTGGATGTATAATTAAACTCCTTTCTTATGTTGAATAATACCAATCATAACCTTTCAATATCTGTTCTTTTAAATGTTTTTGGAGGTCTCTACCTGATCATCAGTAATTAGTCTACCTTTCAAGACTCATCCCAAATATCTCCCCATAAAACATTGACAATGGTGGGATGTTTCCCTCTCCTTGTGTGATTTTCCTGTTCACCAATTCTTTCTCTTTTAGTGCAAGTAAAATTCTATTTTATTCTAAGAATTCTATTTTCATCACTGTATTTTCATCTCCAATATTAACACTTTTGGAACTTATACAGTCTTTGAGTCTATAGTATTTATATTGTCTTGTAAAGTAGCCAAGATGTTAATTTTAAGTTATTTTCTTTTTCAAGAAGATAGAAGTCTTGGCTTTATTCCATTCTCCTCTTTTTTTTTAAATGAATCATTTAGTTACCTTCTCTGTTTAAATGCTTGAACGTCTTGAATTATTGGTGTCATCATAACCATATCAATTGTAGAGTCACATAATGTAACATTATAAATTATACTAGTTGAAGAGTCCCAAAGGAGCAGCTATCAATGCCTAGTCTTCAGGTAAATTCTTCCTGGCCATATAGTTGGTCATATACAGTCTCAGTTTTGTTTAAGCATTATAAACAATAAAGCTGTGAAGAGTACCTTTTCAGTAAAGGATTATTAAGCTAATTCTGTATTAAAATGACCAGCCAACTCCAATAGAGCTTCAGCATTCATGTGCGATCTTATATCTGGAGTAACTAATGGCAAATGGAATATATTATAACAGATCTCTCCCATTTTCTAGTCTTCCCCAAATAGCTGATCCTTCAGACAGGACCTCTTTTCCTACCTGGAGATTGCTCTCAGTAGGAGTACTAAGGTAGGAAAATGAGACACTGCCACTTGTCTGGGATTTCCAGATGTCCGTCGGTCTTTCAGAGAGTGGCCTAATGGCTGTTGCACACGAGGTAATCAACTCTTCAGAGAATACATAGCAATTCTGACATATCCCTGACACATCTGGGGAATTCCAGACAGAAGTGCAGGATCTCTATATTTACATGACAGAATAAACACTGATTTATAAATATCCCACTAAGGATTCAGCATCTTAAATATCCCTCAGTGGTTTATAGAATATCAAAGCTGAAGTCTCAGTCTGGGTGAGCCAAGATCACTTCAGTGACTTCAGTCAAGTTTTGCCAACTCATTCTAGCGATTACCTGGTCAATGTGAACTTCAAAGGAGATGTTAATTGCGTTACCTGTTCAATTTGTGACATCAGGGAAACTTAATTCCTCATATCGGAACAGAGTGTATGGGTCCAACTAGTGTGGCATGCTGACTCCAGCAGTAATCTATATCTGATACTTCAGATAAGGTAACTTTCCTCTAAGACTTACGTGCACTTCATCACTTGTGCATTAGGGAAAAACATTTCCAGCTTCAAATGGCAATCAGCATAGCCTTGGAATCATGAAGACTCTGCTGGATTTCAATTTTAAATTAGATCACATAATAGGAATTCCCAGTTGTGCTAAGTTTTCATCTTATTTTTAATTGTTTTGCTTCAAAAAATAATTTTAGGATGATAAAAAATAAATTTCATGTCAAACTCTGAAATATTCATTTGAGTGAAAATATCCATAGGAATTCAGTAGAAAAACTTTAAAGGCTTATGTCAAATATAAGTGTATGTTTAGACAGAAGTCCCTAGTCATTGCTTTTCTTGTATCCAAGCGCAGTGAAGAAAGTTAAAATACAGTGAAGAGGATATTCTTGAAGATGTGACTATCCTTAGAGGAAAGAAACATAATAGTTTCTTATATTTTTAACATCAAGTAGACATGATTTGCAAATAAATCATTGGCATACATAGTGGGTGCTCCCACAGAGTTTTATTTTTTGGTATTTGCAGCAAACTATGGATTCCCCATGGAATACCTTTATGAAATTCCTTAATTTGCCACTATGTCTGAAAATAACTTTTCCAACCAGCCTCTCTTTTGGTGAAGCACAGTTACCTGAACTTCCACTATTTTTTATAGTTTGGAGTGCTGCACATTTTACACAATTTTATGAGGAATAACAGAATAAGCTTTACTGCAGGGCACTTCTTTCAATAAACCCAATAAACTATTGCTGAGCAAGAGTCTTGGGTGAATATGAATGAAACAGTAAAAAGAACTTGACTGTAGAATTTAGTTCTTCCCAGCCTTGTAAGCTCTTTCAAAATCTATTTTCATAAAGTCTGTCATTTTGTGAGGTATGGCTTAAGTAGTTAGTGGAACAGAGGGAAAATTGTATCCTGGAAGCTGGCACATTATAATTTGGTAAAATGTGGTCTAATCTGAATTTACTGTCTTAATCAGTATTTAGAAAATAAGAATCAGCAATTAGCTCAGCGTTTACACAGCAATTCATTTCCCATGTTAATATTTGATGTACCAGCTATGGACTGGTAGAATCAATCACTTGTACTAAAAAGTGCCTTTTTGAAGCTCTGTTTTCAAGGCCTTGAACTTCACAAGGTAAGACATTTTATGCATAACTCAAATATTATTTACACTGTTGTGAAGATACACTTACCAGTGTTTTCTGAACTCATGTATTAATTCAGCGTGGAGCTTTAAGAGTCTGCTGAATGTTCAGTAGAATAAATTTGCATACTGAATGAATTAATAACATTATTATAGATTACAAGGCTTCACTCTCTTCTTGAAATTTTCTTTGATCGCTTTTCTAACTATAGATGCAGTGTAGATCCCAGCCCTCAGCTATGCCTAAGGGATTTCCTGCATTAAAATGATATTATAATGAAAACTACCATTTAAGCGCTCATAAAAAGAACCTCCCCCAAATCTATGGAAATACTTTATATGAAAAAATACCAATATGTGTCTCCTTGAATTTTCTTTAAAAATAATTTTATTCAGATTAGTTTCACTTTCATTATTCTAGTAATACAAAAAACAAGCGAGATGTAGCTGTCGTTTTACAAAATAACGCTGAATCTCCCATTGGGCAGAGCTGTGATGACAGTTGTATAATTTTCCATGCAATCTGAGTCTCTGAGGCCCGCTCGAGCATTAGTGATACCTTATAAAGGACAGCTGGTAGAATGTGATGAGTTAATTGGATGAATACCAAA